AATCAATAAATTACTTCTCTGTTTATTTATATAAATGAATGGGTTTCATGTAAATAAAGATGTTTTCTCCATTTATTTACTGCTCTTTTCTATAAAAACTTACACTTAATCAATATTTAAATCCACTTTTCCCGAAAATGAGTTTCTTTTCATTATTTAAATCTTTGGTGTATATGATAACTATCTTGTTGGCTCTTGCTTGTCCGGCCTTTCGTAAGTAATTTTATTAACAAGCTTTATAATGATATAATTAATTGGTTATAATCTTTTAGAACTTGCAAAAATGATTTTATTTGATATGTCTAATGGAACTCTCAGTTTACATTCTATCGACAAAGTGTAAGTAAATTAATCTTTGAAAATCGGTTATTTATCGTTATCTTTGATATCATTAAAATTTATGATTTATCTAAAATCTTATTAGATACTTTACATTAGCATTAACTCCTATAGGTGCTATTGTAATCTTTTCTATGTGTATGATATTCGGCTGTGATGGAATTGCTAATGAAGCTATTACGTATGCTTTATCTTTTAACTTCACATTATTATATTACTAAGCTTTTAACTATCAAATATATAGATCTATGTTTGGCTGTGGATATATGATTGCTTGGCTAATAGTTCCAAGTAAGGACCATTTATAGACTACAATCAGAGAATGCTCTATGCTTTATATTTCACCTTTTAATCTTATTAATTTTTCAATAAAAGGCGCATACACAGCATACACAGTTAATGAAATGGGAAACATTCCATTTACTTGTCCAGATTCCTATAACTACTCTCTTCCCTTACTTCACACCACTTGTCAGATTCGGGCAACGAACTTGATATTTATATGGGCATATCCCACATTTCTTGTTTTTAGTTCTATTCTTCTTGTAAATGATGACAATAATAATGAAAATGAGGTTTCTGATATTTGTGAAATACCCTTTGAAGTAGTAGAGCGTATTGAAGATGTTGTCATTTAAAAATTTTTATTGAGAGATACTGGTTTTTTTTTGGTTTTTATATGTTGAAATTTTTGTCACAAGTTATCACTAGATGTCACTAGTTTACGGGTACTTGTGACAGAACTTGTGACGCCTGTTTGAGAGTTTTGAACTTCTTTATTTCTTTCTTGATTATTTCTTTATATCTGACACTAGTTACTTAAGTAAAATAGTAGAATTCTAAGGGAAGAAATTAAACTCTTTTCCTATGGTATATACCCGATGCATATACTGTATATACCCATTACATATACATAGACTCGATACATATACATATGCCCGATACATATACATATACCTGATACATATACATATACCCATTACATATACATATTCTCGATACATGCGTATGGTATACATATAGAAAAAAAAATAAAAAAGCTGGCTTGGCAAATTAACCAAAGAAACTTGTGACATCTGTGACAGGTATCGAGAACAGTTTTTTTTGAACTCGGACTTCCAAAAACCCACCTTTCTACCGATTTTTTTTTTACTTGGGACAAACTCGTGACAACTTGTGACGGTCAATTTCACTATCTATTTTTTATATCACCATTTTGTGCCATCTTCTCCACCTTTTTTCGGTGATAGTAGTCTTAACATGACATTATCTGCATGCAAATTACATAAGCTATACTCAGAAGCAGTCAGTTTACCACATTCTAAACAGGGGACGCGTTGACGCCCTTTCCAGTGAATAGCACATCCTTCTTGCCGATAGCAAGGCCGAAGACTTTTCCTTCATTGGAAAGATATTGACAAAGATTAATACCCGTCATTGCTGATTATTATTTTTTGAAACTTGTTAATATTAGTATCCTAGGTAAAACTAATTAATTAATAATTTCAAATTAAACTTTTTTCTTAGGATAATATATCAAAATTTCAAAATAATCTTAGTTGCTATGAGTACCCAAAAAATCCAAGAATCCATCGATCACATGCTGGAAAGGGCGGATGCACTACTTTCTCGACCAGAGAGCCCAAAAAATTCGGAAAATTTCGAGCCAGAGAATGAGAAAGAAAATAATGGCGCTTTCTACCACCGGGGGTTTAAAGCCGAAAGTGTTGCTGAATATTTATATAAAATCCGTGATGACAGCATAAGACCAAGACAATTCCTCGGAACAGATTCTGAGGATGGGATAGAAGCTATACTTAGTGAACGGCAAGGACATTCATTACACGAATTTATTAATGGAGATGACTCACTTCGCCCATTCATAGATTTCGATTTATCCCAAGAAAATTTAATAAAATCGAACCCAAACTTACATGTATAGAGATACGAAATTTACTTTATCGTGCCTTTAAAGAAGTATGCCTAGAAATATACCCAGATTGGAGGCCCAATACTTTAACAATCACTAGTAGTAGTGACAAGAAAAAAATGTCTCTTCATATATCAACTTTTGGCCGCTGACTCAAAAATATTGCTAAAGTCGCAGTATTTACTGAGCTTGTTCGTAAGAAACTCCCAGTAGATTTACAAGATAAAGATATTGTTGATAATATTGCGAATAAGAGTTCATTCTCCTTGCGGATACTCGGAACGCCAAAATTTATAGAAGAGACGAGGGAACATGTGCAAATAAAAAAAGTTATATTCCCAGAAAATAGAAATGTTTTTGATTTTATGCTTCGCCCACCTAATGATGGTGCGGAAGTAAAAGATAGTCCAATCTTAGGAATCCCGGAAGAAATAGTGAAAAATAGTAAAGCGGATAATGGAACAATTGGAGCCAAGGTCGATTATGTAGAGAAGCTACTCAAGGTAATGAATATCGAAGCTTTTGATGTTTTATATCCAACACCAGTTTCTCCGAACATATTCACTTTAAGACGTATAACAGAATTTCATTGTCCTTTATGTACCGGTCATACTAATGAAAATGCATATGTGATCCGAAATAAAAAAATCTATCGTTACTATTGTCATCGCGCAGAACAAGATGCGCCTAAAGGTACAAAGAAACCTTCATTAAAACTTGCAATTAGTCGAAAAAGTTGAGAATCAAGAAAAGTTTCTCCCATCTCCAGAAAAATTAGAACAATGTAGGATTACAGATCCAAATGACTATTTTGTATTAGGTTATTTACTTCGTATGTTTACTTCCGGAAAAAGTTTTATTCGTAATCAAGTTTATGAAGCAATCCAAGCATGTGTCCAAAAAGATTCGCAGACATGGATAGTTAAGTTAAAACACCCCCAAGGATGGACTCTATTTCAAGATGGCTTCTGAGTTGAAACTAGCCAAGTTTAAAATTAGTATAATTTTATCTGCTCTCCTCCATACTCAGTTGAAGTCTCTAATAACTTAAGCGATTGAAAAAGGTATTATACTTTATGATGAAGCGGACTTCTACTATATTCTTCAAATGTAATATCACCTAAAACAATCTTTTCCTGGGATTTTTAGCGAAGCTGGCTAAAGAAATTAATTTAAAAATTATAGATCCTATTCTTTGGCATGTAAAATATGTGATTTGTGATGGAAATGAGGAACTCAATAATTATATCTGGAACTGGTGGGCATATTTAGTCCAAAAGCCAGAAAAGAAGCCACGATCGATTCTGGTATTAAAATCCACTTTACAACAATGTGGAAAAAATATTATTACTGATTTTATTGGGGACAAAGTATTAGGACCACATTTACATTTTGCAACATCAGATTTAGGAAAAATTCTTGGACATTTTAATAGTGCTATTCGAGCTCGAAAGCTTGTAGTTATGAATGAAACGGGTATGGCTATTGCGAATGGCATAAATTTAATGGGCATCTTAAATCACTTATATCTGAAGGAAAAGTAGCTATAGAAGGTAAAGGACTCGAAACTATAAGAATAAATGATTTGCTGGATTTATGGTCACAAGTAATCAAGACGCTCCACTTAAAATAGATGCTGGCGATGCCCGTATAGTCTGTTTCGAGGTCCCTCCTCGTTGCAGAGGAAATGTAGAATATTTTGATCGATTAGGAGAAACACTTGAACATCCGGATGCACCAGGAGTAGTTATGAAATATCTTCTTAGCCGTGATTTGACAAAATGGAAACCGAGCACATTCCCTACTACTAAAATGAAGATAGATACAATGATGAAACAACTTCCGAATCCTGTACGCTTTATAATACAACATATTAATTCATGGTCCGAAATCAAATCGAAAAACCGATCAGTGGAAACCTATATCAAGATTATCTTACTTGGTGTGAAAATGATGGGGAGGATCGAATCAGTAACAATAAATATGGAGGTTTTCTTCCACCGATAGGTATCGAGAAAAAGCAAGTACGGATTAATGGGAAAAGGGAATAGGTATATATCCTCGATCGTTCCAAAATCGTAGCTAAATTACGAGAATCGGTAGGTGATATCGAAGAATTTTCAGACTCGTCCAAAACTGAGACATCCGTTAACGCATCTACAGATATACCTATGTTTAACGTACCCGAAATCGTAACCCCTCAACCGGAAAAAGAGATAACAGAACCGTTAGCTACTGTACTAAACACATCGAAAAGGTAAGGATGTAATACCCACCCCACCTATCACTAACACGACCCAAGACCTCTTCGATTATATAACAAATGAATCTCCGGTTGATTCGTCATCAAACTCTATCAATATATCTCCGCCTCCTGAGATCGTGAACGTAGAAGCTGTGGACGATAAGTCTGAACCAGCTTCTGAGATCATTGAACCGGCGAATGATGAAGTTGAACCATCTCCTATCGAATTTGTGGAAAATGAACAGAATCCAGCAATGAAAAATGAGAACGTGCAGTTAAACTTGGAGAAGATCCAGATAAGTTCGTTACTATAACTAAAAAGGATAGAGACTTGGTGAGGATATTTCGGGATAAAATGATGGCAGACGCAGATATGATTGACTTTACGCGACGAGATGAGGGTGATCCAGAGGAGTATATGGAATTAACTAGACGAGAAAAATTGATATGTATGGAGATTAAGCTTCGGATGTATGAGGATGATGGTGAGCCTCGATCATATACATGTATTTATAATGACGAAGAATGGGAAAAAAACATAGCTATACTCCAAGA